GATTTACAAGTACAAAATATTTATGACCATATTTTGAGCCCATACAAACAGCTGTTTCACTGACCTGTTGGTAAGCAGTGTTGAGCAGCAGGTATCTCTCAGACCTTCTCAGAGGCAGGCACACACTGTAGAGCACATGAACAGCAGCCAGGAAAAACCCGAGGAGGCCCAGCTGTTTGCGGCTCTGCAGCCAGTTTTCCAGCCAGTGGGGGAAATGCTTGTACTTGGTGCCGTAGTAGAGCTGGTGGGCAGCTGCTAACTGTCCTGCAAGGTACACCAGGGCCAAGAGAGTGATGGCGACGGCAGGTAGTGTCCGGTTCACTATCTCTATGGGGATCTTGTAAAAGTCACTCTGCTTGTATTTCATATATGGGTGGATTATATCTCGAATAAACGAGTAAGAAAAAAAGAAGATGGAGAGGGCCACGGCAGCAAGAACAGGGCCCTTCCAGCCAGGGAATAACTGGATAGGCATGTTCTCAATATCACGGGAAGAAGACAGGGTGCCCATGTCCACCGGCTGGAAGTTGAGCTGCCGGGCTAACTCCATGATCTGCTGCCTGGCCTCCACTGAGTCGCTGCAGATGAACACCTGCTGGAGAAACATGAGGGCGGGTTAGAGACGATGGGCCGGTTCAGAGGTGTTGGCGTCCTCCTGTTTGGACCTTTATGAGTCCATCTCAGCAGCATCAGTAAGACTGAAGAGCGAGACACTGAGATACCTGTTACAGACCTCTCTGCACCCATGCTTCTTATTCATCTCTGGATATCTCCCCCAGCATGTCTTTGTCCCCCTGAGCCTGCTTCTGCTGGAGGTTTCTTCCTGTTAAAGGGAGTTTTTCCTTCCCACTGTCACCAAAGTGCTGCTCACAGGGGGTCACATGATTGTTGGGTTTTTCTCTGTATGTATTATTGTAGGGTCGACCTCACATTATGTTGTTGTGGTCTGCTGCTGTATAAATAAAGTTGAATTGAAGCCGTTCTGTGTGCTTTAAGGTCATTGAGAACGCTGCCACCTAAAGGAAGCACGTACTCGTATTTCTTCACTGACTCAGTGTCATCAACAGCTTTAAACTCTCTGCCTCACATACAAAGTATCACAAAGTCAGATTCATGTGCACGTGGCTGGTCTCTCAGTTGAGGCTGTGGTATTTTAAGGTAAAGACGCTACAACACTACAGACAAACCCCTGGGGGGCGAGCCTTTTAGCAACAGTCCAAACTTTGTTTTTTAAACAGGAGGAGAGCTCCAGCAGAGCTCGGGGACACGACAGCACAAAGACACGCTGTAGACATGGACATCAACACGTGTGGCCGGGTTACTGCACCTGTGTGCTGGCATCCTTAGGGTAGCTCTGCTGCATGGCCCAGGCGGAGATGACGTTGAAGCCTTTGACCACGATAGAGTCTGGCAGCAGTGACGCCAGATACTCAGCGTTGGACTCTGGATACTGGTTTGCTCGCTTATTGTTACTCACATCCACCAGGATCTTCCCTGCAGAACAAACACAAGCACAGCAGTCGGGTCACCGACACTGATGACCCAGACGTCTGACCTGGGGACACTGCCCCTGCGTTTCCTCCAGTCTCACAGACACGGCTCAAATCAAAACCTTTGGAAGGTCAGTAGTTCGACCTGCATGCAGACGTGTGCTGGGATGAGAAAATCCACCACTGTGTCCAGTGTGTGTGTGATGGTGTGTGTGACATACCTTCCAGTAGGTGTTTGAGGTCCCACACAACAGAATAGTGCTCACGGCGGATTGCCAGGAATACAACGTTAGCCTTCCCCACAGCATCTTCATGGTGCGTTACATCCACCACATGTGGAAATGAGTGGGCTGCCAGTTTGGGATGGCGGCTGCCCACCACCACATGGAAGCCGCAGCGCAGCAGGCGAATGGTCAGGCACTTGGAGAAGTCACCTGATCCCAGAATGGCCACAGTGGGCTGAGCAGACACGCGCCAGCTTCCTGGATCTGCAGCTCCGTTCTTCAGGCCTTTGGACAGCAGGGGGGCCTGGACGTGGTGGGAGGAGGAGGCTGTGAGGAACAGGGGCTTCCTGCTGCCGCTCATCAGAGACATGGAGTCCATCCTTACTGCGTCTGTGGGCCTGCAGGAGACAGACGCACGGTGTCTATGAGAACACAGCAGGATCCTCAGGTTTCACGCATTAACACACTTTGTTCCACATTTCTGAGAGCTACAGCAAACACGTCCACGCTGCGTGCGTGCGTGAGCGCGCTGGGACAGGAGGCCTCCACTAGCTACCCCAGTGACCGCGCGTGGAGCCCCCCACACCACATCCGCTCTCCTCGCGACCTTGTGACTGCAGACAGTGGTTTCGCGAAGGACGCGGTCGCGCGTGTGCTCGTGCACCTGCACCAGATCCTCTACCGAGACACCGCGAGCTGCCCGTTTACCCACTCACGCGCACACGTATGATGTTACCGTGTGTCTCACGCGGGGATGCTGTCGCAGCTGCTAGCTCACCCTCCCGGTCCTCAGCCTCTGCGGCGTGACGTCATCACACTCGCTCGCGCCATCGTTCACTCAAACGGAAGTTATTTCCAGGCGATATTATCTGCAGACAACACTGAAGCTCTCTGTACATCACCCACGACGCCTCCCACAGCTCCACTCCGTCTCCTGTTTCACCGTGAAACAGGAAACACGTCACTGTTGCCTGCTCAGTACAATGTGACGTCATGTACGTGAGGGCAGAGCTTTTGTTTACACTCGGGCTTCACGCTCGCGCTTGTGTCGCCTCTGTCTGGTGACATCAGCTCAGTGTGCGCATGTGCTGATGCTCAACCAGGTGAGGACGACGGTGTTCACCTGCACGTGTTTGTGCATCTACACACATGCATGTTCTACACACTCTCTATCACTCTATGATTAAAGTGCACCTGTGTCTCCAACCAGCTGTGACAGATGTGACAGGATGAAAATGGTCATCAGACACAGGCGTTGGTCAAGCACAACACTAACCAGGTGACCATGGTAGCCAGAGGACGCCCAGCGCTGCCCATGATTAGTTCAGTCCAATCAGAGCAGCAGAGCTGATCTGGACTACAGCACTGACTCACATTTATTCCTGATTACCTTAGAAACCAAACATTTACTAAAAAAGGGTGATGACATCACAGTGATGTCACAACTCTGTTTCATTTGGCCGGTGTGAAAGAAGCCTCGTTGTCATCTGGGACATTTTTAGTCTTTGGTTTGCATATATCAGCATGGTGATCACATGCACAGGTACGTGTGGTTACTGTGTAGCACTCACCTGTTAGCCTCTTTTACAATCCTCTTACCTGCACAGCACAGGTATCGTCAGCTGTCAGTGACGTCAGCCTGAACAAAGATATCAGAACCAGGAGAATCATTGTTTGCATTTTCACTTCCTGTCTCACTCCAGGCCGCACACACTTTGAGCTATATGGTCGTAAAAGCCCCACAAACACCATCAGTGTAGCCGCCGTCTCTGCACAGTTCACATATACTTAGTATGAAATGTGACAGGATGTGGGCGATAGTCAGAACACACGCCTGAAGGCTGACGACGTATTCTGCAAGTGAATGTCCTGCAAAATGTGACAGAAGTAAAACTGTGTACAACATACAGTAAGTCATTATCTATGAGGGCGTCCAGCCCATGTAATGGATATGTTCATGTTCTAACAGCTGCTGACTTTACTTCAACTCAGTAACTGATTGTTTCAGCTCTACTTGTTTACAACGTTGGTTGGTTCAACTTGATGTTGTAAACATTGTGGAGAGCTGCAGCAGCTAGCACTGCCTCACAGCACCACCGTCCTGGGCTTGACTGTGGTCTGTGGTGCTGCTCTCGGTGCCCTGGCTTCACTGGGACTGTGAACTGGCTTCACTGGGACTGTGAGCTGGCTTCACTGGGACTGTGAACTGGCTTCAGTGGGACTGTGAACTGGCTTCAGTGTGGATGACTGTGCTGTGTGTTAGAAACCTGGTGTTAGGGAGGCTCGCTTTGTTGTTGACTTCAATGTTAAAATAAGTTGTTTATGAGCAGAGAGCAGTGACGGACTCACAAACTCATGTGTAGCTTGATTTAAACACAATGACAGCAGCAGTGCTGCCTCGTGTCACACAGAGACGACCCATGTGTTTATAAAGAAGTTTAGTCTTCTTATAAAATATTTGAAATGAAAACAAACAAACATTCTCAGAAATATCAGTTTTCTTCGTTTTGTTTGCTATGACTTGAACAGTAAAGAGGGCGTTAGCAGCGCCCACAGCTGCTTTTAGGTCCACAGCTGCTTTCAGGCCCACAGCTGCTTTCAGGTCCACAGCTGCTTTCAGGTCCACAGCTGCTTTCAGGTCCACCAGATCACTGAAGATTCAACCTTCTTCATTTGGCACACTCACAGTTATACGAGCATGCAGTGAAATGTGTCCTGACACGCTCCTCCGCTGTGCAAAACACAGATAACATTATCATTATTATCATTATTATTATTACAGTTACAAATTACAATGAATTTAAAGTGAAAGTCGACGTATATTTTTCTTTAAAACTTCTCCCATAAGCTCCACCTCCTCAGCACATTTCACTGCAGATCTATAGACACGTGTCCAGGACTTTTGAATAGATGTGGAAGCGTAAAAACATAAAGTAACGTGAACACTAAGCAGTCCTCTCGCTCCTCGCAGGAGCTGGCTCTGCCTACCAGCCCGCACTCAGGGCTGCACTGCCCCTCGCCCTGTCTGATTTTGGGCACGCCAGGCTGCCGTAGCCGTCACGATGTTGCTGCTGGGATTCACATCAGCAGTTTTACTGCTATGTTTATTTTTCATTATTCGCCTTTATATCGTTGTGAAGACGGGCGCCAGCTACAAGCCTGGAAGCAAGGGTCGGGTTTCTGTTCTGGTGGTCGCAGGATCAGGTAACAGGAAACACGGCTGCGCTGCGTTCAAGTGTCACAGGGAAAGCTCGCTCATATTGTTACGTTACAGATACTACAGCCGTCCTCCGCAGCTACCGGGCTACCGGGCACGGAGACATGTCACTGTGACGTCTTTCAGCAACACTGTGACGCCGTGGGTGTATCGGACACGGCGTGGACGCATGCTAACTCTAGCCATGCTACGTATCTGCTGTTTTATCTGTGGATACTGAACATGTTTGCTTTGCGTCAGGCAGGAGTGCGACACTTCCGCCACCGTACAAACAACATCCCGAGCTTCCGGTACACTATACACACATAGAGTACATAAAGGTCATTGTGGTGATTAGTGAAAAAAGATCCGTCAAAATACTGGATTGTTTCTTAATAATTCATCCAGATGAAGCGATGCTGGTTATTTTCTATGTATTTAGTTGTTAAAAGAGGCAGGAATAGTTTTATTTCCTTGAAGAAACACAGTGTGGATGCATGTGGACCTGTGACAGGCGTGAGTCGTTTTCCACGCTGAGACGAGGGGAAACTGTGGAGTCAGTCATCTGTGTGAGGTTGTTGCTCTCTGCCCTCCTGCTGCACACGGACCACATGTTTCACCCCTCTCTCCGTGTTCATTCAGACACTTCAAACATAAACTCACACATTTTGAAGCGACTTTTTAAATGAAGTCAGTTTGTCATCAACAGTTCAGTCAGAACCTTTTCCCACTGATTCACTCTCAGTGGGTCTAACCAGAACCACATCCACATGAAGGTGTTGGGGTGTGATCATTTTCACATCCCGTGGCACGTGACACAGTCTTTGTGGCACGTGGGCTGGTTTAAAGACACGAGTGCACGATCTGAGCACTGAGTCTGCTCCTTTCTCCAAACATCAGCAGCATCTCTACGGGGAGAGCTCACCAAAGGATGCACTTCCAGTATGCATGAGCTTTGTCCGGCTCCAAGGTGACGTTTTTCCTCCTGAGACCCTACAGTCCATTCCTGTGATGGTTTCTAGTGGCTGCCATGTGTGAGACTACAATTCCCAACAGTCACTATACTGTCTCTGCAGTTGTTCCTGGTCTTTAGACACATCTCTCACTAGTTTGCTTCCTTTCCTTGTTCTGTACTGTGTGGTCCTACTTCTCAGTTCTTGATGTTGGGGTAACGACTGTGTCGTCGTGTGTATCACAGGCCCGTCAGTGTGTGATGTGTTTGTATTCTTGTCTTCAGTTTGAATGATTAGATTTAAAAATCCAAATTTGGATGAATCAGAAAGTTAACTGATAACCACGAGCGTTCCTGCTGTCCATGGGAGTGACAGAGAGCTCCACCCTCTGCTTTGGTGACAGGAACAGTCAGCAGTACTCACATTACTCTGCTGGATTCAAACGGAGGCTCTGACGTATCAACTCAGGCTTCGTTTTGAGAAGTGTTGCTGAGCATGCTCACTGGAATTGGGTCCAGGTCTGAAACGTACAGCCAACACGACCGTTAGCCAATGAATGTGCAGTTTTCCTGGTCTCAGTGGTGAAAACACTCAGCTTAATGCCGAGCGGGACGATCCAGTACAGTCTGGAGCGCAGAGCTGGTGCTGGGGTGCAGCTCTGCAGCTCAGCCTTAGTTATATACAGTCAACTTACAACAGCAGTTATCTTCACACGTAGCGACACTACGGTGTTAGCGAGAAACCACAACAATCAAATGATCCCCTATGAGCGAGCACTTGGTGACAGTGAGACAAAAAGCTCCCGTTTAACAGGAAG